TAGGGAAGCCAATTGTGAACCCAATCTCGAAAGTTCAACATGATGATGCCACCCCCCATTCTGTTTCAATGCACCACAATTCGAGCACCATATGTTGTTCCATCTTCGACGCTGATTCTGGCTGAAACTAGACAATACACATCAACGATCACCTCACTTGTACTTTTCGGGGAGGCGGGCGCTCACGCGGATCCATTCCTTCCAAGCCGCACGCGTTGGCAGGCTTCGGGGGCCAGCAAATGTCGCAGTGTTCATGTTGTTTTGTTTGACCGTCGCAAGTCTGGCTCAAGGATGGCAACGTGCCCCCAGTATGTTTCATATAGTTTGGGTGAGAGCAGAGCATGTCACAAATTAATAGTACTGTGTATGTTGTTTTCACGGTCATCGCTTTCCACGATGTCCGAAGACAGTGACGATGATACTTGCACAATGGATGTCAGTAGCGAGTCGAAGTGTTCCAGCAGAGTTGCTGATGACGGGGGTCCCGGACACACACATATTTACAGCACGCAGTATGCTTTCATGATGTTGAACAAGCGAAGTGGGAGGGCTGCTTGCTGGGGTGACCGGCATTTTGGCGGCGAGTGTGTTGCCATGGATTTTTCGGGCGTGACTGACGTGTACAGCAACGCATTAGCCTTCGTAGCGTTGGACAAAAGTACGGCGAGAGCGCGCTGTTGGGGAGATCAAAACTATGGAGGGAACTGTGGCAACATTAGTTTCGCAGGGGTCACAAGCGTCTATAGCACTTTGCTTGCTTTCATGGCTTTGAGGACTGGCACTGGTCGAGCAACATGCTGGGGTGGTAAAGCCTACGGCGGAGAATGTAGCGATCTTGACTTTTCTGGAACTACGGATGTGTTCAGCACTGGTGAGGCTTTTATTGCTTTCAACCGAGCCGAGGGGACTGCGCAGTGCTGGGGCGGAGTTGATGGTGGTGGCGATTGCACTGGCCTTAACTTCTCCGGAATCACAAACATATACAGCAATGCAAAAGCGTTCGTTGCACTGAACAAGTTTGCTGGCACTGCATTCTGCTGGGGTCGCAAATCAGCAGGTGGTGACTGCAGGAACGTGAATTTTGCGGGCGTCACTCACGTACAGAGCACTCTTTTGGCCTTCATGGGCCTGAGCCAGGGCGCTGGCAGCGTTGTATGTTGGGGTGACCCCGAGTACGGAGGTGACTGCACAAAAGATGATCGTGTCCCTCGGAATGGCATCTCCGATGTATACAGCACTACGAGTGCTTTTTTGATGTTGAGCCGGGCCACTGGAAGCGTCCAGTGCATAGGTCCTCATGATGCCGGTGGGGGGTGCGGGGGCAGTATGGCAATCGACGGGGTCACGGGCGTCTTTGCCACAAACAGTGCGTTTCTGGTTTTGGATAACGCTACGGGTGAAGCGAGGTGTTGGGGTAATACGTATTTCGGCGGGGATTGTTCTGGCATTGATTTTTCAGGATCTCCTCGTGTGTACAGCACCCTTCTTGCTTTTGTCGCGCTAAGTCAGGCTACTGGGGAGATTCAATGCTGGGGTGACCTGGACTATGGTGGGAGGTGCCCTGATGAGGCAAGTCTCCATGTCTGACAAACTCGGGCGTTGCTGACAGGTGATTGTAGCGGCATCGCAGGTTCTGACAAACAGCAGGTTATGTTGGCGTGGGCGGTCATTGCTACGATGTTGGGCCTTGCTGAGATGTGATTGTAGCGACATCGCTACTGCTTGCAAACAACCTGGTCTTTGAGTTTGGGTAGCCAATGCTGCGATTAGCTGGTTCACCCTGCACCGCCCAGAATCACGCTCAAGCGACTCAGCACATGGACAAAAAGCCTTATATCTAGTTTCCAGCATCCCGATGGCATCCCCGAGAACGCATGGCATCCTGAACCAGTTTCGCGAGCGTAGTGGGGACATTCCACAACTCACCCAGGCACTGGCACCATAGGTGGCCCATGTATGGTGCGCGGACAGTGGGACGATTGACTGGCTGATATAATACTGGCCCGAATCAGACGCACGTGAGAAGACGAATAGCAGTATTCCACGAATCGGCGAATGGACGAGGTGGTAGTTTCCGAGTAGATGTTCAGAGCTTCCACCGAGGCCGCCGCGGCGGGTATACCCGCGTTGGGCGTTCGTTGCGTTGCCTTGCGCTGCGCTGTTGGAGAATAAATTTGTTCTTGTCTCTACGCTCCTCCTCCGTTTTCTGGGGCGGGGGGGGGCGCGCGGAGGCGATCAAGAGGGCCCCAAGAGTCGATGCCATGAAACTAGGGTGGGAATGCCAGCAACGCACCGCACGAGCCTTGCAGAGACAGTGGGAGAACAAGTTGCCGATTGCTTGCACAGTGGAAACCCATGCTAAGAAACACCCTGTTTGCCTCCAGGGTGCCTTGGGTTGCTTGGGCTTCGATGGTTGTTGCGATGGAAAGCGTGGCGCTCCCACGCCAAACATCAGTGGGCGCCCTGGGGTCTCAGGGTTGGGTTTCTTGTGAAAGGTTTCTTGTGGTCGGGCCCCTACTTTAGCACGTCGCTCCGCTGGACCCCCCAGCGGCCCTCGAAAGTGGCGACAGTTTCGCAGATCGCAGCCCCGTAGGGATGGCGACGTCTAGTCTGGATCTGCGTAGCACGTCACTCCGCTGGACCCCCCAGCAGCTTTCGAAAATGGCGACAATTTCGCAGATCGCAGCCCCGCAGGGATCGCGATGTCTAATCTGAATCTGCGTAGCACGCATGCGAACGCAGCCATTGGGGCCGTCGGTGCAGCTCCCGATGGGGCCGCGGAACGTGCGAGGGGCGTGCGAACATGTGCGCGGTGGGCGCATGCGAACGCAGCCACTGGGTCCATCGGTGAAGCTCCCTTTGGGGCCGCGAAACGTGTGAAGGGCGTGCCGAAATAGGAGCGGCGGACGCATGCGAACGCTGCCAGTGGAGCCGTCGGTGGAGCTCCCTATGGGGCCACGAAACGTTCGAGGGTGTGCCTCGTGGGTGCGGTGCGCGCGTGCGAACGCAGCCCCTGGCCCCTTCGGTGGGGCTCCCAATGGGGCCACGAAGCGTGTGCGAGATGCGCCAAAATGGGTGCGGTTGGCGCATGCGAGCGCAGCCATTGCAGCCGCCGGTGGAGCTCCCTATGGGCCACGAAACGTGTGCGGGGCGTGCCACAAGTTGACTCGGTGGGCGCATGCGAACGCAGCCATTTGGGCCGTCGGTGGAGCTCCCTATAGGGCCACGAAACGTGTGAGCGGTGTGCCGAAATAGGTGCGGCGGGCGCATGCGAACGCAGCCATTGGGTCCGTCGCTGGAGCTCCCAATGGGGCGGCGAAACGTGTGATGATGTGCCAAAATGGGAGCGGCGGGCGCATTCGAACGCAGCCATTGTGGCCGTCGGTGGAGCTCCCAGTGGGGCCACGAAACGTGTGACGGGTGTACAGACATGGGTGCGGTGGGCGCATGCGAACGCAGCCATTGGAGCCTTCGGTGTAGTTTCCTATGGGGCCACGAAGCGTTCAAGGGGTGTGCCGAAATGGGCGCGGTGGGCGCATGCGAACGCAGCCACTGGGGCGTTCGGTGGAGCTGCCAATGGGGCCACGGAACGTGTGAGGGGTGTGCCGACATGGGTGCAGTGGGCCCATGCGACGCAGCCATTCGGGCCTTCGTGGAGCTTCCGATGGGACCACGAAACGTGTGAGGGGTGTGCCAAAGTAAGGTCGGAGGTGAGGAGGGGGGAGGAGGAGGAGGGGGAGGAGTGAGACGCGGGGCGCTGCCTCTTCAAAACGAGGACCCAACACCACAGGACAGTTGGCAATTAGTATGTAAACTAATCCTGTCAATACGAAAGCAACGAGTACGAGAAGCAAAACGAATATGATCACTCGCCATGATATTCATACGAACGATATTGGTACTATATGAGACCACGGGAGGACACGGGAGACCATGGGTGGCCAAGGCGCCCGACCGATTCCAGACCCGGCGACCCGTTTCACTCGACTTCCCGGAAGAATTAGTGCGGAGTTTGGAGTCTGAATGTTTAAATCGTTGCTCGGAAAGATGTCGAACGATTTTCAGAGACCGATTCTCCACCTACCACCGCGCACATTCAATTCAAACCGTATTCAGCGGTTGCACGGATGCGGTTATGTTCGATATAGATGTTTGTATGAAGTGATCTTTGTTTATTTCAGTCATGAGAGCTAAGGAATGCTGTTGTTACATGATGCGCATCTCGCTTGAGGATTTCTTCTGCGCTACGATGCCAAACCTCAAGGTGTGCAGCTGTAAGACGGACGGGGGCGGCTCCTTCTTCAAACCCAGTGGCAATACATTTCTTTGGGAGCTTATCATCAGGGGATTTGGGACGAGCGGGTGTGTCGAGCATCGTTGATATATCTTCGTTGGTGTGTGAAGATCTTCCTCCTCGGCCTCCTCGTCCTGATATTCCTTCCCTCCTCTCCTCCCTCCTCTGCCCCCTCTCGCGCGCGCGCCCCAGAGGGGCAGGCAGGCAGGGGAAGAAGCCTGAGAGAAGGGTTGGTTGGCTGGGGAGTGATGATGAGTATGATTGGTCGTCATCATCATCACCACCACCATCATCATCAGCATCATCATCATCCTTCTCATCATTAGCTTCATCATCATCATCATCATCATCATCATCATCAGCAGCAGCAGCAGCACCACCAGCATTAGCATCAGCATCATCATCAGCATCAGCAGCATCATCACCACCACCATCATCATCATCATCAGCAGCATCAGCATCAGCATCAGCATCAGCATGATCATCATCAGCAGCTGCAGCATCAGCATCATCATCTTCATCTTCATCTTCATCATCATCGAGGGGAACAAGGAAATGAGAGAGAGGGAGAGAGAGAGAGAGCAGCCCTATGCCTCAAGCCAACTTTTCCAAGCCATCCCTGCTATTCCTGCAGTGGCGAGCGGAAGGGCGGCGAACGAGCGAGTGGCGGGGTCCGGCGGAGGGGGCCGCCCCGGTGGCCCTCCAGGCCCATCGTCACCCTGCAGTACCAGGAGGCGCACCCCCGCTCGGGCGGGAGGCCAGGAGAGGGTCCCCCCCCCCCCGAGAGGGAGGCCGCAGCCGCAGCGGGAGCTGGAGAGGAAGGCGGAAGAGGGGGGAAAGGAGGGAAAGGAGGGAGGAAGGAGGGGGAAAGGAGGGGAAGGAGGGAGGAAAGGAGGGAAAGGAGGGAAAGGAGGAAGCTGGAGCTGGAGAGGAAGGAGGGAAAGGCACCGGCAGGAGGCCACAGGGTGCCTCGGACTCGGCCAAGAGGTGTTGCTGTGATGTCGCCGCGTCTGCTTGGGCGCGGCGCGTCGACCGTGGGCCCGCCCCCGGGTGGATACGGAGGAGGACAACGAGGAGGAGCGGGGGAACGAAGGCGGAGTCTGGGCGATTGGCGAAGAGGTCGCATCGGCGCCAGTTTCCGTGCGCAGGTTTCGCCCTCAGTTGGAGGGCGCCAGCAATCCGATGGAGCCCGATGTCAGCACAGCTGCGAGTCGGTAAGAGGCGCTATTTTCCGCGGAGGGGGCGATTGTGAATCTTCAGCTTGTTGATAAGATGTTGGTTGAGACCTTGAGCAAGGGACGGGCCCATCAGCCGCTCCCACAACCCTCGCCAGTTTATGGGACCGGCTCATCAACGCATCGTGTCGCCCTTGTGTGCCGCATCGCCCACCGATCCTCGAGCCTGGCCCGGCCCTTACTGGGCCAAGGATGTGCGCACCCTCTCTTGGCCTTGAGGGCGTGTGCGAACACCGACCCAGGGCTCATATAGGACGTTCCAGAAAGAACCTTGCCTTCGAGGATCGACGGAGTTGTCATCTCTTCTGCGGCGGAAGGTCGGCGGAAATAAAACGAGGCCGCCTCCGCCGGCGGAAGCCAGCGGAAGGACGGCGGAAGGTGACGGAAGTAAAAAATGCACCCCCATGAGATGACAACATTTTTGGGTTCAGGGTTTCCGAACTCCGCCATACTGATAGGGCTAGGTTCAATGTGCATGTGTGTGAGTGTGTGTGTGTGTGTGTGAGTTGCTGGCGTCCTCCCGCCCAGGTGCACGAGGCGCTGGGGAAGGACCTCATCGATAGGATATTCTGGCCAGTGGTCCGCAGCGCGTATCTGACAGGCATCCGCTCATCCGCCGAAGATGCAAGGTGCCCCCGAGCCACCGCTTAAACGCATCTGCCGGCCAGAATTACACATGAGCGCACCCATCATGAAAAAGAAGCAACTGCATCGGCAGCAAGAGGCTAAAATTGTTCGGCTTTCGATCTGGGCCCAGTGCTGACCGCCAAGATTCAGAGTCGGGGTGCTACTTAAGAAATCATCATTTGAAACTCGAGTATTGTTGTGAGTGTGTCGAGGGAGTAGACACCGAGATACACCTAAACAATCAGGCAACGATCTCCAAACAATCCCACCACCCCGAGGCGGCCCAAACGTGCTCAACAAGGAGGAAGAGGAATCGGTCCCCAAGTAGTGATTAGCTGTTACACTACAGACAGTCAGGTGACTTTGTACGACTTGAGAATTCGGCCCGAAGTCTCAAATCGCACCAGGAGACTTAACTGTCGGCCCGGCCAGCACAAGGGCCGTCGGCCCAGCCAGCCTGGGAAACAGGGCGTCGGCGGCAGCTCGCTGGCGATGAACGCAGCATCGAGCCTTCGAAAACGAGCACAGGGCCCCCCGATGACATTCTAGAGGGTCCCAGATGGGTAGCCTCAACCTTGCTGCAGTTGTCGGGGGCTGCGGATCCGGGTGTGGATCTGCTACGGACCCTGAGCGGGTCCGATGTTTTTGAAGGTCGGGGCGTTTCGAGGGGTGAACAAGTAGTACGCTTGGAAGGGACCCTGTCGGACCACTTTACCCTTTTGCATACTACTAAAATGAAGGGCAGCGAAGGCCTCCCAGGACAATTTACGCAGGGCCAGCAGGGGCGACAGGGGGGAAAAGGCGCCTTCTAGAAATTGATTGAGGCGCTCCTTTCAGAATGTTGCTGCTCTGCTCTTCTGGGTTCCAATTTGCTGCTTGCCGCGCGCTCTGACAACTGGTCCTCCTCGTCGCTGGCGTCGTCGTCGTCGTCGCCATCGCCGCCGTCATCGCCGCCGTCGTCGACGTCGCCGTCGTCGTCGCCGCCATCGCCGCCGCCCCCGTCGTCGTCCGTCGTCGTCGCCTTCGCCCTCGCCGTCATCGTCGTTGTGGCAGCCCCCTCACTGACCTGCGCACTGCTGCTCCTGCTGTTTCCCCGCCTCAGTCCAGTTCGCGCCCGCGCTGCGATGTCGCTTTTTTGGCGAACGTCGCGGAGACAATTTTTTAAACGGTCGCCATCGCTGTCCTTCAGCAGCTTCACGCGCGCGAAGCAGCCCCCTCTCCAACTCGCCCGCGGGAACTCTTGACCGCGTTCAGACACGCTCGCACCTGCGCGCCTTCCTCGGGTTCAGGTACCAGTCATGCGTAGACGCGTTGCTGGTCCAGACAAATCAAACCGTGCCAACAGACCTGACTGTCTGTCAGGGGGGCGTCCAGACCGATGGGTTTGGGCCCAGCGCCGTCATCCAATCTCACCCGTCGCGGGCTCCGCCAGAAAGTGCGTCGGCATTTCAATCGTTCCTTCATTCCTCTTTTTCCTCCTGGTTGCTTCCCCCTTCTTCTCTCCATCTTCTCCCCGCCGATCCCTGCTGCCTCGCCCTCACGGTGCTTGCCTGCACCGTGTATGTCGCACAAATGTTTCACTGCCCCGTCTACGCATGAGTGGACCAAATGGGTCAGCGACGGATCGCGCGTTGCACCGATGCTAAAGCAGTATCGTTACCCCGCCTGACCATGATCCCCCCAGCTACGTCTGTATGCGTATACGTTCATATGTACATAATGAATACACGTGCCATCGCATCCTCATCGTTGTTCTCACAGTGCATACCAGGACCCGACAGGACAACACATCATCGCAGCATGTGCCACATGGCCCCACGAAGTTTACTGTTTGAGACGAGTAAGAAATATGAGGGGCGACCACACCCGTGCATTGCCCGCCCGTTTGTGTTGTACGAACATGCGACAGGCAAAGTCTTCGTGCACGACTCCATCGGAGTCATTGCGTGTGCGCGAAGGCCGTGGCCTAGTGACTACCTGCATGGTGCGACGACGACGACGGGGAGGGTCCTGGCAGAGGCCTCCCTTGGGATTCCCGCGCGATCAGAGGGTGGGTCGGCGATGGCCTGCTAACGTAAGGGAGGAGGTCCAAGGGGCGGAAGGGGGAAGAGGGAGGGGGAGGGTCAGGGAGGAGGGGGAGGAGGAGGAGGAGGAGGAGGAGAGGCACAAAGGAGGGGGAGAAGAGGGACCGGGAATGGGGCGGTAGAAGGATTGTGTGTATTATTAGTGTCAGTTATATGAACAATAGTGGTAGTAGCAGCAGCACCTTATTACTACTACTACTACTACTACTACTACTACTACTACTACTACGACTACTACGACTGCTACTACTACTACTACTACTACTACTACTACTACTACTACTACTACTAGTAGTCGCAGTAATAATAGTAATATATTAATAATAATAATCGTCGTAGTAGTAGTAGTAGTAGTAGTAGTAGTAGCAGTAGTAGTAGTAGTAGTAGTAGCTGTTGTACGTGTAGCAGTAGTAGTAGTAGTAGTAGTAGCAGTAGTAGTAGTAGGGCCAGTAGTAGTAGTAGTAGTAGTAGTAGTAGTAGTAGTAGGTAGTAGGTAGTAGGTAGTAGGTAGTAGGTAGTTGGTAGTAGGTAGTAGGTAGTAGGTAGTAGGTAGTAGGTAGTAGTAGGTAGTAGGTAGTAGTAGTAGTAGTAGTAGTAGTAGTAGTAGTAGTAGTAGTAGTAGTAGTAGTAGTAGTAGTAGTAGTAGTCGTAGTCGTAGTAGTAGTAGTAGTAGTAGTAGTCGTAGTCGTAGTCGTAGTCGTAGTCGTAGTAGTAGTAGTAGCAGTAGCAGTAGTAGTAGTAGTCGTAGTCGTAGTCGTAGTAGTAGTAGTAGTAGTAGTAGTAGTAGTTGTTGTAGTTGTAGTAGTGGCAGTAGTCGCATTCGTAGAAGTAGTATGTGCACTCGTAGAAGAAGTAGCAGTAGTAGTAGTTGTTGTTGTAGTAGTAGTAGCAGTAGTAGTAGTACGAGTACTAGTGGTGGTGGTAGTAGTAGTTGTCGTCGTCGCCATCGTACTCTTAGTAGTAGTAGTTGTAGTAGTAGCAGTAGCAGTAGCAGTAGCAGTAGTAGTAGTAGTAGCAGTAGCAGTAACAGTAGTAGTAGTAGTAGTAGTAGTAGTAATAGTAATGTAGTAGTAGTAGTAGTAGGTAGCAGTAGTAGTAGTAGTAGTAGTAGTAGTAGTAGTAGTAGTAGTAGTAGTAGGTAGTGGTAGTAGTAGTAGTAGTAGTAGTAGTAGTAGTAAAAGTAGTAGTAGCAGTAGTAGTAGTAGCAGTAGTAGTAGTTGCAGCAGTAGTAGCGTTAGTGCTAGTAGTAGTAGTAGTAGTGTTAGTAGTAGTAATGCTCATAGGCCTGTTAGTAGTAGTCGTAGTCGTAGTCGTAGTCGTAGTCGTAGTGTAGTCGTAGTCGTAGTAGTAGTCGTAGTCGTAGTCGTAGCAGCAAGAGTAGTAGATGTAGCAGTACGAGGAGGGGGTGCAGGGTGGAGGAGGAGGTTCCCCGCCATGGGTGGAGCTGCGGATCTTTGCGTACGGCAGCATGCGGGGCTCCTGGCGGAGATGGTGTACTGCACCATGGTGCGGGACCTGCGCAGGCCACCCAGTGCCGACTTTCTGCCTGCGCGCCGCTGCACACATCTGGGACGATTCCGGAAGGGCTTCGCACTCGATGGGTCGGGAAGTTGGCATGTCGCCCGTGGTGGAGGGCGCGGAAGTATATCGATGGGTGGCCTCGCCAGCGGAAGTTGGTGGAGGTAGAAGCTGGTTTTCCGAAAGGTTTCGGGAGCGGGCACTTACGACTCCTCGTGGCGTGGCTGAGCCCGCCGCCTTGGTATGTAAAGCGCCGCCACCGGGATGGTCCTGCACAGCCGTCGGTTTCCAGAGGCGTCGTCCTCGGCCTCGGAGTTCTGTGGAGAGCCTTCCGGCGCCTTCCGTGGTTTCCTTTTCGCACTGGCAGGATTGAGAGAATGTGAAGGGAGCAAACGTGTGCCCAGGCATAGTCTGAGAGTGGTCTGGCTTCTTGCAGAGGGGAGGGAGGATAGAGGGTGGTGAAAGAGGAGGTGAGGGAGAGAAGGGGCGAAGGAGGGAGGGAGGGAGTGGAACACGGGTGGAGGAGAGCAGGGATGTAGGGAATGAGGGGAAGAAGGAGAGATCAGGTCACGACGGCGCAGGGGGGACAGGGGAGGAGCAAGGGCGGGGGGGGGAGGGCAGTGAGGGGAGTGAGGGGAGTGAGGGCAGCAGAGGGGAGGGGATGGGAGGAAGAGTGGAAAAGATCGGACTGGAGAGGAGAGGGGAGAGGGGAAGGAGAGAGATGGAAGAGAAACGCGGGATCAAAGGGCTCTACATCAAAACCCAGACTTGTCTAGGAGCGCTTTCTGGCCAGATCCCGAGACGGATCTGGCCAGCAATGGCGGCGGGGGTTCATTCACCTTTTCTTCCTCCTCCTCCTCCTCCTCCTGCTGCTGCTGCTCCTCCTCCTCCTCCTCCTCCTCCTCCTCCCCCTCCTCCTCCTCCTCCCCCTCCTCCTCTCTTCCTCCTCCTCCTCCTCCTCCTCCTCCTCCTTCTCCGCCTTCTTGCACTTTCTACTGCATGTTGGCGAACGCAAACGTCTCCCGCATGCAGAATTTTAAGGCCTGCGGTTCCCACGGCGCCGCCCGCTCTCTCGCGCGCAGCCTTGTTTCGAGCAGTTGATTCCGATCGGCGCGGAGGGCCTCTGATGCCGTCCGGCCGACGGGAGCTCACCCGAAGGGCCGCGAGCTGTTCTTCCCCCCCGGGCGCGGCCTCTTTTTCTCAGCCCTGCCCCTGACCATGCGCCCCCCGTCTCTCTTGTGGGCCAGTACACTCCTCCTCCTCCTCCGTGGAGGAGGAGGAGGAGGAGGAGGAGGACGGGGACGAGGAGGAGGAGGAGGAGGAGGAGGGGCTGGGGACCGCATGAGGGCCTGGGCGGTCTGAGAGGTTGTAACGTTGAGAAGACGTGAGAAAGAGAGAGAGAGAGAATGAGCGAGAAAGGTAGCAAGATATGAGGACGAGAGAGCGAGAAGGAACGAGATTTGAGCAGGAACGGTAGAGAGATGGTGGAGGCATATCGTTACGAAAGGAAGCTTGGTTGTTCGTTTCTTCTCTCATTGTGTTCTTCAGTGTGGTTTCTATGTTTGTGCTCTGTTGTGTGTTGTTCGTTTGATTATTGTTATCTTGATCCCTTAATGTATTGTAGTGGCCTCTGGCCAATGCCGACGATCTGGGGCGTTCCCAATGGTGCTCGGGTTCGTTTGGAGGCCTATGGGGCAGTCTTGAGGCCCTCGCGCTTCAGGGCCGTCTTGAAGGCTATCTTGGCCGTCTTGGGGGCCTACGGGGCCTACTTGGGACCCTCTTGGGGCCGTCTCGGGAGCTTTTTGGGCCATCATAATACCATCTTGGAGGCCCCTGAACAAAAAAACAATGGAAACAACAACACTGCCTGCTAAGTGCCAACAAAAAATCCAACCAAAACTCACGATTCGCTTGATACATTCCAACAACTATGGAGAACAACAAAACTACTTGAGTGGCGCCAACAAAATCCAACGAAACCCAAAAATGCGCTTAGCCCATTCACAACACAATGGAAAACAGCGCAAACGCCTGAGAGATGCCCAACAAATCCAAAGTCTGAGATCAAAAACCCAAAAACCGTTCGATTGGCGCCAATATATATATATATATATGTAGATTTGTGTGTATGTATGTATGTGTGTATGTATGTATGTATGTATGTATGTATGTATGTATGTATGTATGTGTGTACACATGTCATTATTAGTTGAAAAGAAATACTTGGTATATTCAAAACAACAAGGGAAAGCTACAAAACCGCCTGAGAGGTGAGAGGTGCCCAACAAAATCCAAAGGCAAACAACGAAACCTGCTGAGAGGTGCAATGACAAAATCAGCATCCAACAACAAATCAAGAACACAACAAACAACAAATAACACGTATGGCAGGTACCAAACAAAAACAACAACAACAACAAAGTCTAAGTCTGAGGGCCACGATCCTTGATGACGGGGAAAAAAACAAAACGTCCAATGCACATCGCGTTGTCTGCTCACCCATGGAGGGGCCTGGCATTTGTGTTCGGGCGGGCCATGCCATGTGCTCTGTAAGTTTGGGTTGCTTGGTTTGTTCTTGCCACCGTCATCAGGGATCGTGGCCGTCCGTTTTGGATGTGTTGGAGATTTGCGACGCGTGCAATATTTTTGTTGGATGTATCATGCTGGATACTGGATGTTGTGGCACCTCTCAGGCGGTGTCGTCGTTTGGTGCAGGAGTGTTTTGGCATGTGGGATGTTGTGTTTAGATGCGTTGGCACCTCCCAGGTTGCTTTTGGATTTCGATATTAGACGTTGGATGTGGTGTGCACCTCTCAGGCGGAGTTGTTGTTTTGGATGTAACTGCGTCCTTGGGTGTGTCAAGCGAATTCTAGATGCGCTTGATTGGCTGGCACTGGTGAAGCCGTTTTGCGGAATTCCGGTATTATATTATTGGAATGATTTCCATTTCTCAACCGTTCTTGTTGTTTTCACATCTTGGACATGTACCCAGCGAATTGTGGATTTGTTGTGGATCGTGTTTGCGTTTCCTTCGTAAGTTGTAGGCTTATTGATTTGAAATAAGTGTTTGTTTGCATACATCATGCGATGTGTTTGCTGGTATATAATAGTCGCAACGAGTTTAAAGGGCTTAGTTGAATCATAAAATATGGAGCATTCGCAAATACACGTACGCTGCGTCTTCATGCGTCCGCTTATGATCGACGTTATATTATTCATGTTCCTACTGTGTCTTAACAGTAGTATTATCATTGTGTTCACAATTCCATTCGCTCCTCCTGTTTTTGTCGGTTGCTCCGTTCTCTCTTCCTTGCTCTTTTTCCGCATTGTCTTCCTCATCGCTCTGCTAAGACTGCTCCTGCCCACTCCTCTCTAATCGGCTTGCTATTATGACGTGTGTGAATTGCGCATTGTGAGGTGCTTGAGGATTCTAGTCAAGCCCCTGCGCGTAGTGGATTCCTCGCAGGGATTTATGAGAGCTCCACGAGGGTTCCATTGTATTGTCTCCATGATTGTGTTAGATTCCTCGTAAGATCCGGCTGGCTTCATAAAAGTGTTTTATCAGACGCAGCATTCGAATCGCATTGGGGTGTTATTAAAATATTTCGGAGAGTTGATTCGGTTATGTTATGAATTCTTGGCGCTTCGAGCTTCCCTACCAGCCCATCCATAAACAACGCCCGGCGAGTTGCTTCTCAGAGTTTCCTCGGATGTCCCTTGGAAGTTTGTTGGATGCCTCTTGGAGCGTGTTGGATGCCTCTTGGCGGTCCCGGGGGCCTCTGGAGCGTATTGGGTGCCTAAGGGAGTGTCATTGGGGCCTCGTGGGGGTTTTTTGGGAGCCTTTTGGAGGCCTCTTGGGCGCCTCTTGAGGCCTCCTGGGTGCCCCATTGGGGCCCTCTTGAGGCGCTCTTGGGAGCCTTGGGAGCGCTGTTGGAACCATCTTGGAGGAGATCGATCCAAAAAGATGGGAGCTCCAAGTACGTTCTCCCCTCGGGAGCCCCAAAAAAGCCTCTTGGGCCCCTCTTGGGGCGCTCTTGGAGCGCTCTTGGGGCTGTTTGGGGGCTTTCTTGGGCCTCTCTTGGGGCCCTCAGGGGCCCTCTTGGAACTGTCTCGAGGCCTCGGAAGGCCATCGCAAGCGAACAGGCGAGAAGGCAAAAATCATCCATTGTCCTTCGGAATTTGAAAGATTTGGGCCTCTTGGCGGTCTCCTGTGGAGGCTCCGTGGCCACTCGGAGCCGTCTTGGAGCGGTCTTGCGAACTCTTGGAGCATCTTGGGAACCAGATTGAGCCATCTTGGGCTCTCTGAGGCCCTCCTAGAGCCATCTTGGGCCACCTTATATGCCCTGACCGCTCGCGACCCCCCCCCTCTCCAGGTCTAGGGGAGGGGTCAAGACACCCACCCACCCGCAAGCCGTCTGCCTCACTCCCGCCCGCCTTCCCTACACATAAGTAACACCCGAGCCTGAGCATGTTCAGCAGTCGTCGTTGGATGGGCAGCTACTGGGAACCAAAGCCGACCCCAGATGCGCGACGTTTGGGCGAGGTGCGCCACGCGTGCCAGGGGCGCCACGCGCGCGATGGTGCGCCAGATGCGCAACGTGCTCCGAGTGCGCCAGGTGTGCCGCACACTCCAGCCGCGCCAGGTGCGCCGCGTTCGGGGCACGTGCAGAGTGCGTTAGGTGCGCCTGCGCACGTGACAGCACACATCGGGAAACACGTCGGCCCTTGCCATCCTTGTCCAAAACCGATGCCCATCATTGTGTTTGCTGGACCTGCGCACAGCAGGCCACGCGCCACCACCCCCGCCGTCCCTGTCAAAAACTATTTGAAAGTGATCGCGGGATGGCCGCGCATGATCCAGATTTAGCCGCGAGGTGCATGTTGTATTGTTTTTGTATCAGGGATGGTAGCCTTGCGCACAGCAGGGAATATGCTGACACCCCCGCCGTCCTTATCAAAAACAATACGAAGTGCTCGCGGGCCTCACGAACATGACTCAAGATGTTGCCCCAACTTGTAGTTTGCATTGGCTTTGATAGGGATGGTGGGGGGCCGCATCGGGTTGGCCGCGCATGCTCCACATGTGGAGGCGGAGTGCGGTTTGTATCGTTTTCTGACGGATGGTGGGGTGCGAGTGGGCATGGTGTCGGCATTATGTTTGGTTGGCCCCCGGTCGTTTGGGGGAGGGGGCGTATAACATTGAGGAACAGTGATAAACGCCTCCCCGAAGGGGAAGAAGGAGGGGTTGGAAGAGAACCTCCCTGGACCTCATACGCCCACAGGGTTGATGGGATTGTTTTGGGTCCCGACCCGACTTCTATCATGTTCTCATTCGATGTGGTTTGGATTGTTGAGATCAGAGTAATTGGATCCCGTTACTCCGATCCTTGATACGGGATTGTATATGATTTCTATGTGGAATCTATGTGGTGCCGATCAGAAGTACGTAAGATCCATATTCGGGTTGTATTAGAGACCGCGTGGGTATCTATCTGACTTCTACTAGGACCCGACTGGCTTCTCATTAGAGCTCCTAGCATCCAGTGATCGGAGTAATCGGATCTGAGTATTCCATGCAATGATCGGAGTAGCCGGGTCCGAGTATTCCGATTGCTCCAATCAGTGAATTGAGAGTGTACAAGTTTGATGTTAAAAAGCTTATTGGCTTGATATGGGGATTCAATCGATGCGCATCCGGATGCCATGCGTTTTTTTTTACATGTCCCATGGAGGACATATCAGGCTTCCATGTGGATACCATCAGATTCCCAGTAGGATGCGATTGGATTTGAATTCGGTAGTTTTCATAATCCGCATTATATTCCCATCCGGATTATGTTACACTTCTTGGAAGGATATATGAGATTCCGTTTCGGACTATTCCGATTCTGATTTTATGGTTGTATATGTAAATTTGTGTTGGGCGTTTACAATGTTTGTTCTCTCTCTCTCTCTCTCGAGCAAGGCCGTTATGGGTTAGGCGTCTCCCGTCTATGTCTTACGGTGATATGTTATTTTTGTTGCGTGTTTCGTTACCCCGGTTGTTTGTTTATATGTACCGTGTTTGTTTTCTCTATATATATATATATATATATATGTATATCGCTCTCTCTCTCTCTCTCTCGCTCTCGGTTTCTATCTCTTTCTCTCTCTTACTCCTTCTTGATAGACAGCACTGAAACGGGCCAGGCCCTCCTACGGGCTGGCGCCGGAGGAAAAGGAGGGGCGGGTGTCAATGCGAGCGCCCTCGGCTGCCCAGCGCGCCAGCCCTGACTCCTCGTCCTGCTTCACCCCCACCATCCTCATTGTCCCCCTTGTCCTCCTCCCGCTCCTGGTCCAGCTCTTCTTCCGCGCGCACAACGGGGAGGGCGCGAGGAGGGGCTGCCTTCCAGAAAGGCAGGGGAGTTCCTTTGGAGGCGGGGGGCTCCTTGGAATCATTCCCGGCTTCTAAGAAGCCCCCCGCTTCGCCCGCGGAAGCAGCCCGCCGCGGCCAGGGATCTCCATGGCGACCCCGCCATGGTCGAGCGCTGCTGGGCGATCCCGCCCCCGTCGTCTTCGTCGTCGGTGTCGGGCAACCGCGGAGTAGGAGGGCGAGAAGGCGGAGGGAGAGAGTTAGGGAGGGGGGGCAAGGGAAATGCAAGGGGAAGGGGGGGGGGAGAGGGGCTGGGAGGAGGAGGAGGAGGAGCCAGGAGGAGGAGGAGGAGGAGGAGGAGGAGGAGGAGGAGGAGGAGGAGGAGGAGGAGGAAGGGGGAGGGGCAGAAGATGGAGGCGAGGGGGGAGAGGGGGGGGAGGAGAAGCATCAGCAGGCCGGGCCCCCCTCTCTCTCGCTGCGGCGCGCTCCGCAGGCCGGACCCGGCGCTTCCCCCTGGCGTTCCTCCCTCCGCGCCCGCTCGCTCACGGGAGGGGTGACATCGTTGCCCCCTCCGTCCAGGGAAACGTACGAAGCCAAGAAGCCGACGATTTCGACGATTAGGACGACGACGACGACGACTTCGGCGGCGACGGGGACGACCGCGGCGGTGACCACCACGAAGATGACTTCACTTCGACGACGACGACGGCGACGACGAGCACGACCACGACGACGACGACGACGATTTCGGCGGCGACGACGACGACCGCGGCGGCGACCACCACGAAGATGACCTCGACGACGACGACGGTGGCGACGACGACGACCTCGGCGGCGACGACCACAGATATGACCTCGACGACGACGACCACGACGACAACCTCGACGACGACGACGACGACGACGACGACGACGACGACGACGACGACTTCGGCGACGACGACGACGACGACGATGACGACTTCGGCGACGACGATGACGACCTCGGCAGCGACCACCAAGAAGATGACCTCGACCTCGACGACGACTACGACGACACAGACGGTTGCGACGACGACGACGACCTCGGCGGCGACGACCACAGAGATGACTTCGACGACGACGATGACGACGACGACCTTTGCTGCGACCGCCACAAAGATAACCTCAACGACGTGTTCGACGACGACGACCTCGGCGCCGAGGACCCCAGAGATGACTACGACGATGAGGACGACGACGACGACGTCGACGACGACGACGACCTCGGCGGCGACCACCACGAAGATGACCTCGACGACGACGACCTCGACGACGACGACGACGACGACGACGACTTCGGCGGCGACCACCACGAAGATGACCTCGACGACGACAACGACGACGACCTCGGCGGCGACGACCACGACGATTTCGACTACGACGACGACGACCTCGGCGGCGACCACCACGAGGATGACTACGACGACCATGACGACGACGACGACGACAAACACCGCGAAGATGACTTTGACGACCACCACGACCACGACCACGACGACGACGACGACAGCGACTTCGGCAGCGACGAAGACGACCTCTGCGGCGACGACGACGACCTCGGCGGTGGCAACCAAGAAGATGACCTTGACATGGGCGACGACGATGACCCTGGCTACGACGACGACGGCGACGACGACGACGACGACCTCGGCGGCGACCACCACGAAGATGACCCTTGACGGTGACGACGACGACGACGACGACCTCAGCGGGGACCACCACGAAGAGTATCTCGACGACGACGACCATGACCACGTTCACGACCAGATGATGATGTTGCTGATGATGATGATGTTGATGCCGAAGATGATGATGATGCTGATGATGCTGATGATGCTGATGATGCTGATGATGCTGATGATGCTGATGATGCTGATGCTGATGCTGATGATGGTGATGGTGATGATGATGATGATGATGATGATGATGATGATGGTGATGATGGTGATGGTGAGCCGGGTAGCCGTAACGAGGAGTTTCCCCTCATAGAAATAATACACACGAAAGGTACGTGGTGAAGGTTACATCTGAAGCATGCAGTCATCACCTCAGATCGTTTGATGGGGTTCGGCGACCTGTCCAGCGCGATCCAGCCAGATTTCGCCGTGACTCTTGGGACCGAGGTCCAGAAGTTGGCAGGGATGCCCCGTCTCGCAATGTTGGTACGTAGGGTGGGATAATCGGGACAGTCCTGAAAAAAGGTGTCTGATGTTTGGCCACGAGGCCCCGCACTGTGAGCAGGGCCGTCCCGTCTGCCGCCCTGTCTCCGTCGAAACTGCACCTGCCAAGAAGATCCCAAGAAGTTTCTTGTCGGTCACGGAGAGAGACTCCACAAGTATTTGAAAGGTCTGCCTGAAAGCGCCTCCCCGTCGACTCGATCGATCGCTTCGGATTCTCGCCTTGTCTGGTGCATTACCTGCATGCAACGTGCCCGACACATGGCTCGGAGTATGTGTTGCACCCGTTCGGCGTGTCGCTCTTCCCCTGGTAGGTGTGTCCAGAAGCGCCCTTGCGCATCTGCTAGTCCTTGCACCAGTCGATGTACTCTGTGATCGCCGTCTCCTGGAACCTCGAGAAGACATCCACGATCAGCTGAAAAACGAATGAATATGAGACCGATACTTTGTGCATGATGCACCATGATGTGTCAACAAATTGGGACCATATCAACTTCTCCTGCTTTTCTGTCTTGATGGCCTGAAGTGCGACCGAAAAGATAGGATGGGTATGCCGTTGGGGAGGTCCGTCTTCATGAAGCGTTCGATTTCCGACGTGTTGATCACCAACAACATCGTGATCTCCGACCCGAAGTTGATCGCACCCTTTGTACGTAGAGTAGCTTGGCACAGGGCCGCATTGAACACCAGCGAGGCGAGACTCACTGGGCTCTGAGAGGCCCTGTCGTACAGGTCATCAGCACAAAATTCCTTGGCCGCCGTGAGTCGGCAGACCGAGGCCGGGCACGTTGGTACCTGCATGGTGTTGTCGTCTTTCATTCCAGGCGGTAGCCGTCGAAGCTCTGGAGCTTTGGAACCCATCTTGATTATCTGGACAGTCGTCGTTGTGACACTTGCACCCGTGTGAGTCAAAACTTCGGTACTGATCGTCTCGGTGTCGCCGAGGTCTGCCGTAAACGATGAAGGCCGCATCCGTCCCCGCTGACGCCTGCAACCACATCTTCGCATCCTTCAGCTCCTGCACATTCGTACACACAACAACTGTGTGGTCGGCGTACGTGCGGTCGCTGATCGAGTTGGCATTCCACAAAGGACTGTCTGGCCATTCCGACTGGTCTGCTTCTTGGTCGCGGGGGTCCCAAGCGAATTTGATCCTTGGCCAGTCCCCGTGGATGTCTGTGAGTTCGGCTGGTCGCCAATCAGTTCCCTCAACTTCTTGACAACATGCTGATGTGTGGGGTTCGCGCCTGCTTTGTCCACCTGACGCAGGAGGGCCCGTATTTGCTTCAAGATCTTGGGCTGATCTCGAGGCGGCTTCGGCTTGTGAGCAGGCTTCGGTAGTCCAGCAGCTGGTGGAAGAGTCCCCGATGACTGTGCCAGCTGCCTCACCACCGACGTGAGACTCTCAACTTGGGCGGCCAATTGTTCAACTCGAGCACCCCGCCCGCGTTGAGCTCGCCGCCCACCCTGTCCTCCTCCGCCTCCCATGAGTGGATCCTCAAAACTGAAGCGGTTGGCGTCCTCCTCAGGCGAGAAGATCATCACCTCATGCATGTGAATATGACGCGACTCCAGGGCGCTGCATGGGCTGTACTCTGCCTCGGCGGGGGCAGTCCCGTCAACACCACCACGGAGGTGTACCTACACGTGGTCGTGAATTGTTGACCACGTTCACGACCACGACCACGACCTCGGCGACGACCACCGCGAAGATGACCTCGACGACGACCACGACCACGACGAATACGACGACGACGACCCCGGCGGCGACCACCACGAAGACGACCTCGACCTCGGCGACGACGACGACGACGACGACGACGACGACGACCTAGGACCTAGGGGGCGACCCCCACGAGGATTACCTCGACGACAAGGACGACGACGACGACGACGACGACCTCCGCGAAGATGACCTCGACGTCGACCACGACCACGGCCACGACCACGACCACGACGACGTCGGCGGCGACCACAGCGAAGATGACCTCGACGACAGAAAACGACGACCACGACCTCGGCGACGACCACCGCGAAGATGACCTCGACGACAGAAAACGACGACGACGACTTCGGCAGCGACCACCACGAAGATGACCTCGACGACGTCGACGACGACGACTACCACCACCACAACCACCACGAAGATGACCTCGACGACGGCGACCACGACGACGACGACCACGACGACTACGACGACGACGATGACCTCGGCGGAGACAGCGACCACCACGAAGACGACCTCGGCGACGACGACGACGACGACGACGACGACGACGACGACGACGACCTCGGCGGCGACCACCACGAAGATGATCTCGAAGACGACGACGACGACGACGACGACGGCGGCGACGACGACGACGACGACGACGACGACGACGACCTAGGACCTAGGCGGCGACCACCACGAAGACGCGCACGACCACGACGGCGACGGCGGTGACCACCTCGAAGATGACCTCGACGACCACGACGACGACCACCGCGAAGATGACCTCCACGACGACCACGACATCGACCACGACCACGACCACGACAACCACCTCGGCGGCGACCACCACGAAGGTGACCTCGACGACGACAACGACGACGACGACGACGACGACGACCTCGGCAACGACCACGACGAAGGCCCCTCAAGTCGGTGGCGCTCAGAAGGGGGAGGGAGAGCGACAGGGTCGGCCCTCCGAGGAGGCAGGGGGGGCTTCTTGGAATCGGGGCAGGAGGCTTCTCGGAGGGCAGGCCCCCTGCCTCGCTCGGAGGGCCTCGCCCCTCGCTCCCACCCCCCCCGCCCTGCGCGCCGCCAGCTGGGGAGTGCGGGGGCCCGTCTCCGATGGGTCTTTCGGCAGCGCGCGTGCAGACCCTCCTGCAGCTCGGTGGTGGCTTTGGGGGGGGGACCGGAGGAGGCGTGCGCGACGGGGAGCCGGCTTCGGAAACAGCACAGAGACCCCACCAGGCAACCCACAGGCAGTCAAGCGCGTCCTTCCGTGCCACGGACACGGTGGCGGATTATGCCAGACGCTTTCCCTACCCAAAGTGCCCTCATCATACGGATGGGAACTGTTGCACAGCGTGTCGCGCCGCCAGTTCTGGCACACCGCGTTTCGGCGCGACACGCTTTCCACGTCCAAGGCCCCCAAGCGTCAACGTCCCACGCTTTTTCCAACCTCCCGCCCTGCGGAGCGGAGCGACACGTTATCAGCTCGCTGGGCGTAGCATGTCGCTGGGGCCGCCGCATCGACACGGTGAGCCAAAGTTCCCGACCGTAAGTTCTTACACGGTACAACGACCACGTAGTACTCAATCACATATTGTGCCCAAACACAGCATGTGCTTGACATTACAGACAGCCATGTAAAATTGGTACGATTTGGCAGGACTGGAAGCGTGACTGAATTTGTCTGGACTGGAAGCGTGACTGAATCAACGCATGACCAGGGTCTGAACTTCAAGAAGGCGCCAGCGACGACGACGACGACGCCAGCGACGTCGAGGTCCAATGATCAGAACGCGCGACGGCCAAAACGTCGGAATCCTGAGAAGCAGCTTTGTAAAATTCTAGAAGAGGCTTCCTGAGGAAAGTTTTGGAAGGAGCCGCCTGAGTAGAGTTCCGGGAGGCGCGCCTGAGTACAATTCTAGAAGGCGTTGCCGCGCCTGCTCCGCACCCTGGCGTAAGTCGCCCTCGGAGTCTCTCGCTGCCCTAAAGAAAATGATGCCAGGGTGCAGTGGTCCGACAGGATCCGCGCCAAACACGCTGTTTCCCCACCACTTCGGATCCGTCCAGAACCCATCGGATTCGCATCGGATCCGTCCAACAAGCATCGGATCCGCCTAGGATCCGTAGCGGGTCCGTACCCGGATTCGATTCCCGAGGCGAGGCGGACAATCTCGAACGGGGTCCTCGTCAACGTCTGCGGGGGCCCCTTCATTCGCTTTCGGGCGCCCGATGCTTCACCCATCGCCCGCGACCGGCCGCCGAACCTTTTTTCCCTAGGCTGGTTGGGCCGACGGCCCCTTGCCTGGCTGGACCGACAGTCTGACGCTTTTGTGCGGTTTCAGACTTCGGGCCGAATTCTTAAATCATACCACCTCACCTGACTGTCTCTCACGGACAGTCAGGTTAAGTTGGTACGAGTTGCCTGGACTGGAAGCGTGACTGAACTTGCCTGGACTGGCAGCGTGATTGAATCAACGCATGACCAGGGTCTGAACTTCAAGAAGGCGCCAGCGACGAGGACGACGACGACGCTGGCGACGGCGAGGGCCAGTGATCAGCACGCGCAGCGGCCCAAACGTCGGAACCCTGAGGAGCAGCTCAGTAAAGTGTTAAAAGGAGCTGACTGGGGCAAGTTTTGGAAGGAGCCGCCTGAGTAAAGTTTTAGACGGAGCGCCTGAGTACAATTCTAGAAGACGCCGCCGCGCTTGCTCCGCACCCCTGCGTAAGTCGCCCTCGGAGTCTCTCGCTGCCCTCAAACACACTGTTTCCCACCATTCGGACCCGTCCCAAACCCATCGAATTCGCATCGGATCCGCCCAACAAGCATCGGATCCGTAGCGGGTCTGTCTGCAAGGTACCATTCACCCTTGTAGCTGCAAACCCAGCCACCTTCGATCGCTTGCAAGGCTGACGGCTTTGAGCTCGCAAAGAATTGATTGGGCGCGACTTTGAGCACGAAGCGTCCTTAACATGTGCAATCGTGGGGGGCTCGTATGCGCTAGGATGATAGGCCGCGAAGGTGCCCTACGCACGATATCGATTATGCGTGTGAATATATATATATATATATATATATATACACATACATGAATGCATCAACAAGTACCGCCATCCACTCGTGCCAGCGGTGGGCATGTTGATGCGCGATGCTGAGGACATCTCACTGGAGAGCTCGATTCCAAACCTGGCCGCACTTCGTTCGCAGTACGTAATTGTGAGGAGTGCGAATGTGATAACGAGCCGATCTCCACATGTGCAGTTGTTGGAGATGTACGGTTTGCTGGCAATCGAGCGCGAGGAGGTCACAAGCAGAACATCTGCACGTCCCACCTGCACGCCTGGCGGCATAACGAGGAGGAGCTACCTGCGAGGAAGAGGGATGAGGGAGGGAGGGGCGTGTGCCCACCTTTCCGTTCGATCTCTCGCGCGACCAAACGTGCACAGCTCGCCCGTGACGCGGGCATGCGCGTGGCAGTATCATTGCCCCCGTGCTTTGCGCCAGACGTCGAGATCACACGGCGAAGATGCTTTGGAAGTGCGCCCCCGAGCGCGCCCGACCCAGGCGACCGCGCAGGCCTACGTGTCGCGGCACTGCGTTCCCTCCATGGGGGAGCCGGCCGCCTCGCGCTTCGTGCACGCCTTGCTGGAGGCATGGGGCGGGGGCAGGAGGAGGGGAGCGGGCACCTCGCCTGGGCAGGCCAGCGAAAGAGGGGAGGCGCACCAGAAACACGGGGAGGGGGAAGAGAAGAAGGAGGAGGTGGACGAGGGGGTGGATGAGGAGGACGAGGACAGGCACTCAAACTCGCCAGGCGGCTAGCGGAAGTTCTGGCGCTCTCGACTCCTTGCCGGGGACCGGCGTTTCGTCCCGAGTCGTGCTTCGTTCGGCGGCCCCAAGGCCCAAGAAGTGGGCCCGGACGCCAAGAGTGCTTCATTCTTCCGAGTCGCCCGAGGTGCGGGTCCATTCTCTTTTGATTCAGAAAGAAAGGTATCGGGTTGGGAGGATGGGGTTGGGAGATATGACTCGATGATCCGTATTCTCGCGTATGTCGAGTGTGCTTATCACATAATCGTGCCCCGTCTCTTCCCAACGCCATTCCCCAACCCGATCATATTTCTGGTCAGTGTCAGCCCCGAGCCTCTCCTGGGGTGCGCTCCTGCTGGGATGTATCTAGGCAGATCTTGCCGCAGCGGCGAAGGCGCCCCCCCAAGGCTCAAAAAACGATTCAACGTCGTCGAAAGTTTCGATATTGGTTCCCAGGCCGCCGATGTTTTTTCCCAACCATCCTGTGGTATTGGGTCCTTGTTTTGAAGAGACAGCGCCCCGCGTTCTCCTCGCGCCTCCTCCCTCCTCCCATCCGTGCCTCTGCCTTCCGCATGTCCACAATTTCGGCACACCCCTCGCACGCTCCGTGGCCCCATAGGGAGCTCCACCGAAGGCTCCACTGGGAGGGTTCGCATGGCACCACCGCACACAATTCGGCACACACCTCACACGCTTCGTGGCCACATAGGGAGCTCCACCGAAGGCTCCTGTGACAGTGTTCGCATAGCACCACAGCATCCACTCCGGCACACCCCTCACACGGTTCGTGGCCCCATAGGGAGTTCCACCGAAGGCTCCATTGGGAGGGTTTGCATGGCACCACCGCACCCAATTCGGCACACCACTCACACGTTTCATGGCCCCATAGGGAGCTCCACCGAAGGCTCCAGTGGCAGGGTCCGCAGGGCACCACAAGCACCCAATTCGGCACACCCCTCACACGGTTCGTGGCCCCGAAGGCTCCTGTGGCAGGGTTCGCAGGGCACCACCGCACCAAAATCGGCACACCCTTCACACGGCTCGTGGACCCATATGCAGTTCTACCGAAGGCTCCAGAGGGAGGGTTCGCATGGCACCACCGCACACACTTCGGCACACCCCTCACGCGGTTCATGGCCCCAGAGGATGCTCCACCGCAGGTTCCAGTGGCAGGGTTCGCATGGCACCACCGCACCCAAGTCGGCACACCCCTCACACGTTTCGTGGCCTCAAAGGGAGTTCCGCCGAAGGCCCCAGTGGCAGGGTGCGCATGGCACCACCGCACCCAATTCGGCACACCCCTCACACGTTCGTGGCCCCATAGGGAGCTCCACCGAAGGCTCCAGTGGCAGGGTCCGCAGGGCACCACAAGCACCCAATTCGGCACACCCCTCACACGGTTCGTGGCCCCACCGAAGGCTCCAGTGCGAGGGCTCGCATGGCACCACCGCGCCCACTTCGGCACACCCCTCACACGGTTCGTGGCCCCATAGGGAGTTCCACCGAAGGCCCCAGTGGGAGGGTTCGCATGACACCACCGCGCCCAAGCCGGCACGCTTCTCACACGGTTTGTGGCCCCATAGGGAGTTCCGCCGAAGGTTCCAGTGGGAGGGTTCACATGGCACCACCGCACCCAATTCAGCACACCCCTCACGCGGTTCGTGACCCCAGAAGGGGGCTCCACCGAAGGTTCCAGTGGCACCACTGCGCCCAATTCGGCACACCCCTCACACGCTTCGTGGCCCCATAGGAAGTTCCACGGAAGGCTCCAGCGGGAGGGTTCGCATGGCACCACCGCGCCCAATTCGGCACACCCCTCGCATTGTTCGTGGCCTCATAAGGAGCTCCACCAAAATCGGTACCCACAATTCGGTATTCGCAGCTGCATGTGGTTGGGTCCTTCGCCTGGGTATTTGTTTCCAACCATCCTGTGGCGTATCCTTCCTCCTCCTCCCCCTCCTCCCTCCTCCTTGCGTTTCACCCACCCAGTACAGCGCTTCGTGGCCCCATAGGGAGCTTCACCGAAGGCTCCAGTGCCACCGCCCGCGTGCGTCACCCACACCCATTTCGGCACACTCCTCACACGTTTCGTGCCCCCATAGGGAGCTCCACCGAAGGCCACAGTGCCACCGCCCGCATGCGTCACCCACACCCATTTCGGCACACCCCATCACACGGATCGTGGCCCCATAGGGAGCTCCACCGAAGGCAACAGTGCCACCGCCCGCATGCGTCCTCACACCCAGTTCGGAACACCCCATCACACGTTTCGTGGCCCCGTAGGGAGCTCCACCGAAGGCCCCAGTGCCACCGCCCGCATGCGTCAGTCACACCCATTTCGGCACACTCCATCACACGGTTCGCGGCCCCATAGGGAGCTACACCGAAGGCCCCAGTGCCACCGCCCGCATGCGTCACCCACACCGATTTCGTCACACCCCTCACACGTGCCGTGGCCCCATGGGGAACTCCATTGAAGGCCACAGTGCCATTGCCCGCATGCGTCACCCACACCCATTTCGGTACACCACTCACACGTTTCGTAGCCCCATAAGGAGCTCCACCGAAGGCCCCAATGCCACCGCCCGCATGCGTCACACACCCATTTCGTCACGCCCCTCGCACGCTGCGTGGCCCCATAGGGAGCTCCAACGAAGACCCCGGTGCCACCGCCCGCGTGCGTCACCCACACACCCCTCACGCGTTTCGTGCCCCCATAGGGAGCTCCACCGAAGGCAACAGTGCCACCGCCCGCATGCGTCACCCACACCCATGTCGTCACACACCTCACACGCTTCGTGGCCCCACAAGGAGCTCCACAGAAGGCCACGGTGCCACCGCCCGCATGCGCCACCCACGCCGATTTTGTCACATCCCTCACACGCTTCGTGGCCCCACAGGGAGCTCCACCGAAGTCCCCAGTGCCACCGCCCGCATACGTCACCCACACCCATGTCGGCGCACTCCTAACACGCTTCGTGCCCCCATAGGGAGCTCCACCGAAGGCAACAGTGCCACAGCCCGCATACGTCACCCACACCCATTTCGGCACACCGCTCACACGTTTCGTAGCCCCATAAGGAGCTCCACCGAAGGCCCCAGTGCCACCGCCCAGATGCGTCACCCTCACCAATTTCGCCACACCCCTCACACGTTTCGTGGCCCCATAGGGAGCTCCACCGAAGGCGCCAGTGGCTGCGTCCGCACGCGCCCACCGCACCCATTTCGGCACACCCCGCAAGCGTTTCGTGGCCACATTGGGAATTCAACCGACGGCCCAAGTGGCTGATCTCGCGTGCGCCCACCGGACAGTTTTTGGCGCACCCATCACACGTTTCGCGGCCTTATATGGAGCTCTTCCGAATGCGGTGCATACAACGACTGTATTAAAAGTTGCATATGGCTGGGCCCTTCGCCAGGCTAATTTCAATGCGGGGCCCGCGGACCTCAACCCATTTCCCAGCGACTGCTTTCCATCCAGATAGTTTTCTCATTGACGGCCCCAAGACCCGATAACAGCTTCAACACGTTGAAGACTGCAAGCACAACTCAGCCTTGATGTTTCAGGACGCTGGAGGCCTGAGGTCCTGAATCGTGGATCGCTCCTTTCTCCGATCTGTATCACCTGCAAAGCACGTTAGGCTCATGCGGCGATGGCGCGTCGGCGACGTTGGCGAAGGCGTTCAAGGCTTCATTCCGCATGATAACACGCCGCGGAGGCACCGAGAGACACGGTAACGCCACAGGACCCGACGGAATTTAATTTCGGGCGATCGGGGTTGCGATCCGTTCAAGGTTGAACGATCGACGCGCTGCAAAAAAACCTTGCGCGCGCAGACGCCGCACGAACCAGTAATGCAACTCCGCTTGCCCGCCTCTCCTCTGTCCTCCTTCCTCCCCTCGTGCTGCTGCTCCTCCCCCCTCCTCCTTTGGCTGCCGGTTTCGCTCCGGAGTGGGACTCTGTGGGGCGCAGCCTAATACTTGGGCTCTCATTCTACCATGCGTTTCACCTCTTGCCGAAGATGTAAATTGTACCAGGGTTGCAGTGCTTCCAGGATCGCTTCACAGTGGTGCTGCGTCGTGAAAAAAATACGGGAACGTTCAGACATGCCCCGAGCCGCCCATAACACCCAAAACGCACATACGAGTTATCATCGTTGACGACGAGGGCTGCATCACTTTTGCAGGCTGTCGCACAGTAGGCGCATCAATTGAAAAGACATCATGCCTGAAGGTGCCCCATGGAAATCTCAAATCCTGTGAAGCCCCCCTGTCCTGTCAATGGAGGAAAATCAATCCGGATCCGATAAATTGGCGATTGCTAAACGGCCTGGGCGTTCATTAAAAAGCCCTGCCCTGTTCGATTCCTTCTTCGGGCGCGTTTACTAAACGACTTCGCGTGTCGGGGTGGTAATTATGGTTTTTTTGTTTGACCTCTACCCTGGACCAGCGAAAGTCTTTGGGCCGCTTGGGTTTGTCCACGATGGACAACGATTGTGAAAGCAAAATGAGTAAAGCAATACAATCAAAACACACACACACACACACACACACACACACTCGGCGACGAACGTGTCCTTAGATATCTCACAGCAAGATTTCTCGACGTGTGTACCTTAGCCAGCGGCCCGTTGGATGGTGCACAGGCCCTTCTGGCCTCCGCCAGGAGGTTCGTGTCGTGTCGCGTCGACGCGGCGGCGGCACCAGCGCGGACGCTCAAGGCGGATTGCCGCCAGTGGCCCCGAACTGCCAGTGGCCCGGAATCGGCCGCCATCGAACGACCGGCATGATTGGAAAGCCGAGATCGTTCAAGGCTGAATGATCCACACGGCGTAAGAATAGGGAAACAGACAATGACATAAACATAAAAATTCAGAGGTCCGCGCGGATTTCTCGGATCGGCGCTGGGGCCCCTTGGCGGCGCCTCCGGCGCCGCCCTTGGCGCGCTCCGCGCGCCAGGGCGGGGGGTCAAGCGCCGATCCGAGAAATCCGCGCGGACCTCCGAGTTTTCATGTTTATGTCATTGCTTGTTTCCCTTCAGAAATCAACACGTACTTTTGCAGCCCGCTTTTCCCCCCGCGAACCCGCCACGCCCAGCACTGCGGCAAGAACGAGCGCGGCGTCCAGGTGCGCGACCAGCTGCGGAGGCTGAAGCTGCGGCAGAGGCGCCACACCGGGTGCCGCCAGCGAGCCCCCTCGACGACGACGACGACGACGACGACGACGACGACAACAACAAACATTTTAAGACAGTTCGCTCGTATCTGCTCGCGTGCCGTTCAATACGTATACCCCAAACCCGCGAGACTCTCCCTCTTCGTGTTCGATCGTGCCCCCTTGGGGGTATATTTATCCGAACTGCAACTTTTTCCCAACCATCCTGTGGTGTTGGGTCCTCGTTTTGAAGAGACGGTGGCCCGCGTCTCCTCTCCTCTCCTCTCCTCCTCCGCCTCCTCTCCCCTCCTATCATCCTCTCCTCCTCTCCTCTTCACCCACCCAGTACACCGTTTCGTGGCTCCATAGGGAGCTCCACCGAAGGCCCCAGTGCCCGCGCCCGCATGCGTCACCCACACCCATTTCGGCACACCCCTCACACGTTTCGTGGCTCCATAGGGAGCTCCACCGAAGGCCCCAGTGCCCGCGCCCGCATGCGTCACCCACACCCATTTCGGCACACCCCTCACACGTTTCGTGGCTCCATAGGGAGCTCCACCGAAGGCCCCAGTGCCCGCGCCCGCATGCGTCACCCACACCCATTTCGGCACACCCCTCACACGTTTCGTGGCTCCATAGGGAGCTCCACCGAAGGCCCCAGTGCCCGCGCCCGCATGCGTCACCCACACCCATTTCGGCACACCCCTCACACGCTTCGTGGCTCCATAGGGAGCTCCACCGAAGGCCCCAGTGCCCGCGCCCGCATGCGTCACCCACACCCATTTCGGCACACCCCTCACACGTTTCGTGGCTCCATAGGGAGCTCCACCGAAGGCCCCAGTGCCCGCGCCCGCATGCGTCACCCACACCCATTTCGGCACACCCCTCACACGTTTCGTGGCTCCATAGGGAGCTCCACCGAAGGCCCCAGTGCCCGCGCCCGCATGCGTCACCCACACCCATTTCGGCACACCCCTCACACGTTTCGTGGCTCCATAGGGAGCTCCACCGAAGGCCCCAGTGCCCGCGCCCGCATGCGTCACCCACATCCAAGTCGGCACACCCCTCACACGTTTCGTGGCCCCATAGGAGCTCCGCCGAAGGCCCCAGTGCTGCGCCCGCATGCGTCACCCACACCCATTTCGGCACACCCCTCACACGCTTCGTGGCTGCATAGGGAGCTCCACCGAAGGCCCCAGTGCCCGCGCCCGCATGCGTCAGCCACACCCATTTCGGCACACCCCTCACACGCTTCGTGGCTCCATAGGGAGCTCCACCGAAGGCCCCAGTGCCCGCGCCCACATGCGTCACCCACACCCATTTCGGCACACCCCTCACACGTTTCGTGGCCCCATAGGGAGCTCCACCGAAGGCCCCAGTGCCCGCGCCCGCATGCGTCACCCACACCCATTTCGGCACACCCCTCACACGTTTCGTGGCCCCATAGGGAGCTCCACCGAAGGCCCCAGTGGCGGCGCTCACATGCGCATGCGTCCCGCACACCCATTTCGGCACATCCCTGACAGGTTTCGTGGCCCCATCATCCACCGGAGGCCCCAGTGGCGGCGCTCACATGCGTCACCCACACCCACCCAATTCGGCACACCCCTCACACGTTTCGTGGCCCCATAGGGAGCTCCACCGAAGGCCCCAGCGGCCGCGCTCACATGCGTCCCCGCCACCCATCCCGGCACACCCCTCACACGTTCCGTAACCCTATGGGGAGTTCCATTGAAGATGAAACCCGCAGCTGCGGTACTGACAACTGCATATGGTTGGGTTCTTCGCCAGGCTAATTTTTCTGTGCAGCCCTTAAGGCAGGTGAAGAGAGGACGGATCAGAAAGCACGTGGCAGAACCAGGCGGGCAAATCGGGCAGGTAGACCCTAATAGGCGGGTCGGGAAGGCGGGCCCAGGCGGCCATGTCGAGCAGGTGGGCTGCTGAAGCGTGCGCCCTGCATAAATCGCGAGGAAGTCTCAAGCGATAGCGCGATTACCAAGTAAATCGTAAGCAAATTCAGAGCGTGATTGCTGAGTGTCGAGGGCGCGGCGTTTGAATTAATGGGTTGGTGACACCACATTTTCCTTGATATAAACAGGGCACGAGCCCCAGGAGAGGCACTTCAATTGAAAATTATCCCGGCGAAGGGCCCAACCATGTGCAGTTGTGAGTACCGTCGTTGCGGGTATCGCCATCGGGGGATCTCTTCATGGGGCCATGAAGCATGCGAAGGGTGTGCCGATGTGGGGCGGGGCAGCCATGTGGGTGTTGTCACTGGCGCTTTTAGGTGGAACACATTACGGGGGCGCGAAAAGTGTGAGGGGTGCGCCGCAGTGGGGCGTGTCCGCCACTGGGGCCTTCGATGGAGCTCCCTATGGGGCCACGGAGCAGTGTAATGGGCGGGGAAGACGCTTCGGTGCAGCTCCCCATGGGGCCACGAAGCGTTGTGTTGGGTGGGAGGAACGCATGCGAACACAGCCACTGGGGCCTTCGGTGGAGCCCCCTATGCGCCACGAAACAGTGCACTGGGTGGGGGAACCGCATGCGAGTGCATCCGCTGGGTCCTTCGGTGAAGCTCTCTGTGGGGCCACGAAACGGTGTACTGGATGGGGGTGACGCACGCGGGCGGTTCCATTGGGGCATTCGGCGGAGCTTCCTATGGGGCACGAAGCGCTGTGTCGGGTGGGTGTGACGCATTCGGGTGGTGTTACGGGGGCCTTCGATGGAGTTCCCTATGGGGCCACGAAACGCTGTACTGGTGAGGGGTGACGCATGCGGGCGGTTCCGCTGGGGAAGTCGGTGGAGCTCCCTATGCGGCCACGAATCGCATCGGCTGGGGGTGACGCATGCGGGCGGCGCCACTGGGGCCTTCAGTGGAGCTCCCGATGGGGCCACGAAAAGCTGTACTGGGTGGGGGGTGACGCACGCGGGCGGTGCCATTGCGGCTGTCCGTGGAGTTCTCTATGGGGCCACAAGACGGTGTACTGGGTGGGGGGGTGACGCATGCGGGCGGTGCCACTGGGGCCTTCGGTGGAGCCCCCTATGGGGCCACGAAGCGCTGTACTGGGTGGGGGTGACGCATGCGGGCGGTGCCACTGGGGCCTTCGGTGGAGCTCCCTATGGGGCCACGAAGCGCTGTACTGGGTGGGGGGTGACGCATGCGGGCGCTGCCACTGGGGCCTTCGGTGGAGCTCCCCATGGGGCCACGAAGCGCTGTATTGGGCGGGGGTGACGCAAGCGGGCGGTGCCACTGGGGCCTTCGGTGGAGCTCTCTGTGGGGCCACGAAACGGTGTACTCGATGGGGGTGACGCACGCGGGCGGTTCCATTGGGGCATTCGGCGGAGCTTCTTCCTATGGGGCACGAAGCGCTGTGTTGGGCGGGTGTGACGCATTCGGGTGGTGTTACGGGGGCCTTCGATGGAGTTCCCTATGGGGCCACGAAAAGCTGTACTGGTGGGGGGTGACGCACGCGGGCGGTGCCGCTGGGGAAGTCGGTGGAGCTCCCTATGGGACCACGAATCGCATCGGCTGGGGGTGACGCATGCGGGCGGCGCCACTGGGGCCTTCAGTGGAGCTCCCGATGGGGCCACGAAAAGCTGTACTGGGTGGGGGGTGACGCACGCGGGCGGTGCCATTGCGGCTGTCCGTGGAGTTCTCTATGGGGCCACAAGACGGTGTATTGGGTGGGGGGTGACGCATGCGGGCGGCACCACTGGGGCCTTCGGTGGAGCTCCCTATAGGGCCACGAAGCGCTGTACTGGGTGGGGGTGACGCATGCGGGCGGTGCCACTGGGGCCTTCAGTGGAGCCCCCATATGGGGCCACGAAGCGCTGTATTGGGTGGGGGGTGACGCATGCGGGCGCTGCCACTGGGGCCTTCGGTGGAGCTCCCTATAGGGCCACGAAGCGCTGTATTGGGCGGGGGTGACGCAAGCGGGCGGTGCCACTGGGGCCTTCGGTGGAGCCCTATGGGGCCACGAAAGCTGTAGTGGATGGGGGTGACGCATGCGGGCGGTGCCACCGGGGCCTTCGGTGGAGTGCCCTATGGGGCCACCAAGCGGTGTATTGGGTGGGGGTGACGCATGCGGGCGGTGCCGCTGTGGCCTCTTTGACATAGCTGTGACCAGGCTCGCGCAGCACGAGCTCAGGTTCAAGCAGCCGCAACACTGGCGGCCGCGGCTGGCGGCAGGCGCAAGCCTAGGGGAGCCAAGCGGCAAAGGGGCGAGCAAGCCAAAAGGGCCGACTCGCCGCCGCCAGGCCAAGCCCCCAAAACATCACCGAGCTTGCGCCTTCGGCTGCACCGCCTTTGGCGGCATCCCGAGCCTGATCCTTTCGACCTTCTCGGGGCGACGCTGCAAACCACGAGCGTTCTCTGGTAGCTTGCATTCTGCGGAGAAGCCCTTGCGCTTGCCTCCGATCACTCTCGCATAGCAATGACAGCGCGTGCAAATGCGATCTCCAAAGATGGTCGTGAGAACATGCTCGCCGCTCGCCACTCCTGGAACCCCAGTGCCATCACCAGCGGTCGACGACGCAGCGCTGGGGCCACAGGGGCAATCAAGGGCCTCCGACCAAGACCGACGGGGCGAGCCCGAGCGGCGAGACGAAACAACACTACCTTGCGAGGCAACCAGACTGCTGGCCGCACTGCGAAAACATGACAAATCGGCGGGCGCACACTCGCCGCCGTGGGCTCCCCCCAGGGCTTCTACAGCGGGGCTTGGAGGAGACCCGAGGGACCCCGAGGGGAGAAGCAAGGCAGGCCCATCCACAAAGCTCGCGCCGCCAGCCGAACTCAGACCACACGGGGCCTCAGCAGCGGGCCCCACTGGAGCGCGCGTGCAAGGTCCGACTGGGGCGTCTGCAGCGGGGCCTACAGGAGCCTCACTGCCACTGGCAACATCTTTCTCAGCCGATGTCGAGCGCACAGACCCGCTCGAGCTTGCTCCAGCCGCTGCCGACAACAGGTAATCGATCTTCTGCTGGGCTGTCTTGAGAGCCTCGGCCTTCG